AGTACAAAGAGCAGTCAGGGTTCCCTGCCCTGTGGGCAGTCCAAGGTCCTCCCCCCCTCCATCCAGGTCTAGGAAGGTGAGCATCCAAACAGACTAGGCTCCCACAAAGCCAGTACATGGAGTAGGATCAAAACCCAGTGCCATTGTCCTTGGCTTCTCAGTCAGCACTCATTGTCAGCCACTTTCAGAGAGTCCGGTTTGATCACATGCTCCATCAGTCCCAGTTCAGCTGGCCCAAGTTCTAATTTTTAAATAAAAACTATTCCCCAACTTTGAAAGTAAGTCCTAACTTTAATGTGTAGGTCAAAGTATGTTAACTCATAATTGAAAATATTTTAAGACGGGGGGAAAATGTGTCCACCACAACCACCAAAGAAACAACAAAAACATGGAAGCCATATTGGGAAAAATTTTGGGGAGGAATGTTATGGCAAGATGCCCTCAATAGTTTCATCAATTGCAGTCTTATGCATTTGTTTTTTTTTAAATCCTAATACAGTTTTAATTATCTACCTAACTTAAGTAACCTAAAGTTTCCCTCAAGAAATATAAATTTACAAATCCACACAGAGATTTGGAAGGTTGCGTATCTTGACCTTGATTACTCCCCATTGAACTCTTACCTACTGAAACGTCATTTATTTTTGTCTAATTTTGTTTGTGACATGAGTCAACTTTCCAATTATGAGACATTAATTTTTATTTGAAAAACATGGGGTTATGAAAGCAAGGCATTTAACCTGTTGAGACAGGAAAGATTAAAAAAAAGTCTCACTTAATCTATAATCTAAATTTTAGCATATGTGCCTGTACCAACAATGTTATGAGTGTTACTGTATCCATTGGTACAATTAAAATCACCTTCTTCGTTGAAGCCCCCGAGATTATGAGTGAGAACCTTACTATTGCATGACGATTTTCTCCAAAATTATTTTCTCTTTTCATAGTCAAGGAAGTAAAACTTCCGAGTTGACAATTCTTCCATCTTTATTTACACATTCCTCTGTGCATTTCTTTTCTTCCAGTAATTCTTTTCCCACGACATTCATTACATAATGACGGCTTCCAGTCTTGTGAAATTACTGCTGGTGATTTCCATATCTCAAATTTGGAAACCATTTTATCTGATGGAAGAATCTGTTGGGATAATCAGGGCTTTGTTAGCTTCCCTAACTGCTCTCTGAGCTTGTAATAATCTGTACCCACAGTGCCACCCAAACTCCAATGTCCTAGACACCAGTGTCTCCATGTATCTCCTTCTCTCGTAGCTCCCCCGCACCTCGCACCCCATGAACCAGCCTGCCCGGAAGGCTCCCTAGCTCCTTCTGTGTGGAAATTTCTTGTGTGTGCTTTCGCAGCTGCTTTTTATAAACAAATGCCCTGGTAAAGAACAGCAATCAAATAACTCAAACTCCAGAGTCCTTGCCAGGTTTCAGCTGCTGCTATACAAGCTCTTATGTTTACAATAAGCATTCATTTTGTCTTTGTGATAAACCTACCAGGAAGAAAGCACCACACACTGAAACTGTACGATGGTATAAAAGGCAGCAGGGGGCTACTAGGCTAAGAATTCAAGTGTGCTAGCTGCACACCTACATTTGAGACCACGATGCTGAGCTCCTCATTTATACCTTTTCCTATCATATGGCCTCTGCTGGCAAGGAAGAAAAGTCTTTACTCTTCCTCTATATTATTAAGTGACACCATTTTTGTGAAGTAAGCATTTGATGATATTTGGAAGAAAGAATAGGCAGTAAGAGGTCCATGTGGAGAGACAGGATCTGAAAAATGACCCTTGGTAAGATTGTGACATTGAAAAACACGATCAATGTGGAAGAGGGTGTTGTTGTTTGTTCATTTTGTTTCTGGTTGTTTTTTTTTTTTCTTCTTAAATTCTGCTCAGGCTTGGTCTAAGAAACACCTGCCTATTAGACTGTCTAGAAAACAAAATACTTCAGGTTTAAATGAAATCAGGGAGGGATTGACATGAGGAGAGTGTTGATGAATGGGTAGCTTTTGTCACCGATGGGTCATGATGACATTAGAACCACAAGGACAGGGTCACCTGTGGCTTTCCCTTTAGTTGCATATCGGAGCTATTGTTAAAGCTCAATGTTCCTGTATTACAATGAATCTGTTTAGTCATCTCACTGGGATAGGCTAACCAAAATTAAATGTTTTAAATTGGAGGGATTAGGGGAGGAGAAGTGGGAAGCCAAGAAGGAGAAAAGAGAGAATGTCATTCAGTGTTTTTTTTTAAATAATAAAATTGGTTATTTTTACTTAGACTGCAGGTAATGCTCAATTTCATGTCTCATCTTCCCAAGGGTGAAGAAAATCATTTGCTTTAAAACTCTGATTCTAAGTTATTAATGATTTATTGTTTCATACCACATTATTTCATTTAGTAAGAAAGCATTTACCAAATACCTATGAAGGACAAGCTTCTATCTGTCTAGAACAGTCCTCATAATGAAGTTAAAATAAGGTTAATACAAAACTCAAAATGAAGAGTCATATTACTTACAGGAAATCAAGAAATAAATATTTTCTAGTGAGTTTGCATGGTTAGAAGAATAAACTCTTTCTCATGTGAGGCTCAAGCATGAAATGGTAACTGAGTCAGGGACTAGGGGTAGAGTAATTCAACAACTAACTCTTATGCCCAGATCCACGCAGTCCCCCAAAAGCCAACAAGGAGACTGAGTCCTGTATGTAAAAGCAAAGAGCCTTTATTTTGTACAAGTTTGTACAAGTTGTACAGTGTGTCCAACATATCAGAATAATCAGAGAGTCCCGAGCTTCGTTAGAGTTGGGTTTTTATAGTAGTAAAGGTGGGGGTGAGGGATTTCTAAGGTTCAGGACCCCTGTTTCGCTGACATTTGTCTAGGGGTGGCCTGGTGAGTGTGTGCTGGAAGGTGATCCTATCTACAACGGTTGGAACGCTAGGCATTTCCTTTGAGTGCTCTGTTCTTGGGTGGTGCTCAGGTGATCTCAGTTTGTGGCCCTTCCTGCAACCAGGTATTGCTTCAGGGTAAGCTACTAAGACTCAGGCCTCCATTAAATTTATCATAGCTGAGTCCTACACTGGCAGGTGATAATGGTTGGGAGAACTTCCTTTGGGTGGTCTGTTTCTATTTAGCTTATCATAGCTAGCTCCTACACTAATCATATCCGTTAGAACACACACATATATACACACACGTATGTTTTCGTCACACAACAAAATCTTTATAAGAGAGTTTTCTGCCAGGTAGTGGTGGCACATGCCTTTAATCCCAGCACTCAGGAGGCAGAGGCAGGAGAGTCTCTGTGTTCAAGGCCAGCCTGGTCTAAAAGAGCTAGTTCCAGCACAGGCGTCAAAGCTACAGGGAAGCCATGTAGCAAAAACAAAAACAACAACAATAATAACAAAATTCTATTGCTAATCCAGAGAGGAAAACAAAACAATGGGTCCATCTCTCTCAAGTTTTGAAGACATTTTAGACATTATAGTCTCCGAAAGAGAAGCACTAACTTTTCTATAGAATTTCTTCAGGATTCAGGTCTGGAAAAAAATGACTCAGATGAAAAAAACAAACAAACAAAACAAAATGCACGCTCTGTGCAAACCTGAAACTTGGAGTTCAGATCCCAGACACATTGTCAATGTCAGTGATAGTGGTTTGCCAAGGATGTCAGTGTCGATGCCAGGCAGGCATAGTTGCTCACCTATAATGTCATGGCTAGGTAAGCAAAGGGGCTCACTCACGATCAACACATGAGAGGTGGATATTCTAGGTTCTCTTTTGTACTGTAGAGAGAGCTCCATTCCCTCCAGATCATTGCTGCCCATGGTAGCTATTCAGCTAATCCCTTCAATTTGTTAACTGAGACCCCTTTATGCCTCTCTATGACCAGGTACCTATTCCAGAAAAAATAACTCTTCATGTTCAAGGGTAGGTTGTACAGAACAAGAACCAACATGGTAAACTTTCAGAATCGTGTTCCTGTACAGTTTCTCTATGCATTAGCTCACCCTGGACAGCTCATGTCAGTGTTCTAGCCCCTGCTCTATGATTTTGTCTTTACACAGAAGAACCTGACACTGGGATGGGGGAAAAGGTTATCATAACATCCTGTTTCCATGGAGATTCGTGCCACCTTCAGACACTCACTGTGATCAGAAGCATGGGCTCCTCATCGTGTTCGCAAGCCCCTGACACTATTATTGTTCTATTCTATTCTTCACACAACTATTATGATGTTCTATTTCCTTGATTATATTTGACCTTATCCTAGTAACATCTTTGGTTAAAAGCAACAACCAAGAAAATACCACATAAGTCTGAATTGTTACAACCCTATGTAATATTCATTATACCAAGCCAGAGTTCTGAATTCCCATTTTTATATTTATTCGTGATATTGGTGATTTTTTTATTTTGCTAATTATTCTTCATCATAATTCTCTTCTTTGCTACTTGACTGAGTCCATTATAGTTTCATCTTCCTTATTTTCAGTACAAATTACATGTCCTAATTACATGGTTTACATGTAAAACTGTGAAAAAAAACCCAAACAAACAAAACAACAAATCCAGTAGACCAAGTCTCATTTCTGTTCCTCTCAATAAACTTTGGTCATCTATGAACTGCTGTAGTTCTTTATGTGGGAACAACAACCCAAATGCCATCCTTTTCAGAGATTCATTGTTATCTGAGGCCCATCAATTACATTTGTGATATTAGATCTTGTACCAAACAAAAAAGAAGAAAAAAAATCATCATGGACCAGAAATTATATACAGTAGTAACCTCTGTATAATGTTGACTGTTTAAAGTTAAAAAGTAAGTTTGATTTTTGTAGTATTTTTTTCTTATATTGCATTAAATATATTCAAATGTTGTAAAATATAATATAAACTAATTATAAACTTCAGAGAGAAATCATTTGAATGTAAAAAAATAATAGCCTTAGCGTACTCACTGCTTTTTAATATGCATTTTTCTTTCAAAAGGCCAGGGATCCTGGGTAGAAGAAAATGTTCCTGGAAACCATGGATGGTTGCTCTTACTACCACAGCTGTTTCATTGGCTTTAGCAATAACCATTGGGCTCCTTGTTTACTTTTTGGTGTATGGTAAGGTCACATTTTATTGTATTACTTCGGAAATTTGAAGACTGAAAACATATATTTCTAAACCTTAACATTTTCTCCAATTACAGAATAAAATTTCATTAGAATAAATTTGAACAATAGTAATCTTTAGTGTAAAAAATAATTTTTAATATTCAAAACCTGATGCTATTCATGTAATACCATTTTTTGAATAGCACAAAAGTTCACATGATATGCTATTTATGGCGTGATGATATATATATATGCTAATAGTAAAATTTATTACAGTAGTATTTTTAAATTTGGTGTTGACCTATTGTATTATGACATTAGTTAATTGCTTAGTATTTTAAATTGTCACTTACTATGAAATACCACCTATAATAAATGGGTAATGACTGTGCCAGAAAAAATGCAACCATGGTGATTATAATGATATATGATCTTAAAATGGTTAGGGGAGATACTAGCTACATCTGTTGGATATTTAATTTTCTGAAGTGCACTGATATATGACTGTCAGTTGCTTAATGTTTCTATAATAAGACGCTTTATAAAACGGGATACTTTATCAACAAAACAGGCTACAGGTGACAGTGATACAGGCTAGTTTGGATGACTGCAACAAACTCCATCAAAACAGGTGATGTGGGATTCCCCTCTGTATGCTCTAAATATGTTTTATTACCATTTGTTAACAAAGAAGCTGCTTTGGCCTATGGCAAGGTAGGATACAGCTAGGAAAACTAAACTGAATGCAGGGAGAAAGAAGGCAGAGTCAGAGAGACACCATGTAGCTGCCGAAGGAGAAAAATACTACTGGTAAGAAAGATCTCACCAGTAGACCACAACCTCATGGTGGTGCATAGATTAATAGAAATGGGTTAATTTAGGATGTAAGCTATATTGGCCAAACAATATTGTAATTAATATAGTTTTGTGTGATTATTTGGGTCTGGGTGGCAAGAAAATGAACAAACACTCTCTATTTACAAACACAGAAGATAGCACTATGGGAGGAGTGCGTGTCAGGGCTGAGTAGTGCCTGGATCACATGGAAAGACAGAACACAGGAGACAAGAAGGAACATGACTTTCATAAGAATTAATCACCTGTAAGGACTAACCCACTGTGTAAAGCCAATATTAATCTCTGGGCAATCATGACAGTCAGCTCCTCCCCTCCCTACTTGTCAGATTCATGTCGCTCATAATTATTATATGGAGGACTGAGCTTCCAGCATAATAATCTTCAGAGAAAAAATATGCATTTTGACTTCTTTTGCTCAAAGTAATTAACAAAAGTTATCCATCTCTGTTCTGCCTTTCAGATGAGAAGACTTATTACTACCAGGCCTCCTTCCGGATTCCCAGCATTACATATAGCTCAGATTTATCTATAGAACAGTCAAGACTTCGGATAGACCTGAAACAAAAACTCAGCAATGAGGTAGATCTATACTTTGCTACTACCACCATTGCTACCCTGAAAGTATATAATGTGGAGGGCAATACGAGAAAACACCTGATGTTAACTTCTGGCCTCAACACAAATTCATATATACATATACAAGCATTTGCATACATACATGACCTGCTAAACATGTGAATATGCATACACACCACAGCGGGAAGCCAAATACGATGTAGAGAACATTGCTAGTTTATAAATGATACAATGCAAGTCAGATTCAATCTCTGGTGCAGTTTGTTTATTGACTAATACACAGTACTAGTTGCAGATAATGTAAACATTTTCTGAACAGTTAATATGAAAACCAGTAACTAAATTTGATTTTGAGGTTATACATAGGAAGTGATCTCCTGTGCCCACTTGTTGTAGAGTACTTCCCACTTTCTCTTCTATCAGGTTCAGTGTGTTCAGACTGATATTGAGGTCTTTAATCCACTTGGACTTGAGTTTTGTGCATGGTGATAGATATGGATCTATTTTCATTCTTCTACAGATTGACATCCAGTTTTGCCAGCACAATTTGTTGAAGATGCTCTCTTTTTTCCATTGTATACTTTTAGCTCCTTTATCGAAATTCAGGTGCTCATAGGTTTGTGGATTAAAGTCAGGGTCTTCTATACGGTTCCATTGGTCGACTTCTCTGTTTTTATGCCAATACCAAGCTGTTTTCAATACTGTGGCTCTGTAATAGAGTTTGAAGTCAGGGATGGTAATGCCTCCAGACGTTCCTTTATTGTATAAGATTGTTTTGGCTATCCTGGGTTTTTTGTTTTTCCATATAAAGTTGATTATTGTCTTCTCCAGATCTGTGAAGAATTTTGATGGGATTTTGATGGGGATTGCATTGAATCTATATATTGCTTTTGGTAGAATTGCCATTTTTACTATGTTGATCCTCCCAATCCAAGAGCAAGGGAGATCCTTCCATTTTCTGGTGTCCTCTTCTATTTCTTTCTTCAAAGTCTTAAAGTTCTTGTCAAATAGATCTTTCACTTCCTTGGTCAGGGTTACCCCAAGATATTTTATGCTCTTTGTGGCTATCATGAAAGGTGATGCTTCTCTGATTTCCCTCTCTGTTTTTTTATCCTTAGTGTATAGGAAGGCAACTGATTTTTTGGAGTTGATCTTGTATCCAGCCACGCTACTAAAGGTGTTTATCAGCTGTAGGAGTTCTTTGGTAGAGTTTTTGGGGTCGCTTATGTATACTATCATATCATCTGCGAATAACGAAAGCTTAACTTCTTCCTTTCCAATACGAATCCCCTTGATCCCCTTATGTTGTCTTATTGCTATTGCTAGAACTTCAAGCACTATATTGAAGAGGTATGGAGAGAGTGGACATCCTTGTCTTGTTCCTGATTTTAGTGGGATGGCTTTGAGTTTTTCTCCGTTTAATTTAATGTTAGCTGTCGGCTTGCTGTAGATAGCTTTTATTATATTTAGGTATGACCCTTGTATCCCTAGTCTCTCCAATACCTTTATCATAAAGGGGTGTTAAATTTTGTTGAATGCTTTTTCAGCATCTAATGAAGTGATCATATGGTTTTTTCTTTCAGTTTATTTATATGGTGGATTACATTGATAGATTTTCGTATGTTGAACCAGCCCTGCATCTCTGGGATGATTTTGTGTATTTTCTGTATAAAATTTAAGTGATAATAATAGTCTATATGTGTACATGAATGCATATATACCCAGAGCATGCCAGGTTCCTAGGATAATAATTTTAAGTGACTTCAATGTTTTTATAGTAGATTCTCTAGATATTTTATAAGGACATATATATATATATATGTATTAGACATGTATAATAAAAATATTTCCATAAGAAATGCTTCTAGATATGCTAAAAAGGAACACGTGGCCACTTGTTTTACTAACAGTTATTGATCTCCTGAAGCACATCTCCCCAGTCTGTCTAATATAACATCACATGAAATTTCATTGAAGAGGACTTTGTAAATTAAATGATGAGTAAATAGCACTAGTCATATACAGCTCATTTCATTATTTGGCAGCCCTACTGAGATTTGTGCAACTACTTGCTCAGATACAGCTTGGTCAAGGTTAGCTTGACCAAATCAGCTTGATGAGTCAATGACAATAAATGGGCTTGCAAGAACTGTCGTCCTGTTGCCATTGTTCCTGCTTTGTTAAGAAATAAGTTGATCTGGGATATTTTACCGTCGATGAAGTATTCCATATAGTAAAGCCAAAATAGTACATTGTGGCATTCGTTGACATATTTTATTCTAAGTAAATATTTTGTGCATTTCTTCTGATAAATAATTAAGTTTGTGGAAGTGCCTAACTGTGTGTGCATCATCCTCCCAACACCATTGTCTGAAGGATCAAAACTTCATGTAAAACTGTTTTACCAAACTGAAAAATTGATCTTTCCATCACACTCAGAGACTAACATAACTGAGTTTCGAGACACGGATGTCAAGTTGATGATGAGTCCATGCACAACAACCTTACACAGTCTCTGGGCTCCAGTTCCTGCTTTTGATTTGTCTACCTTAATACAGCTCTTTGTGCTGATCATCCTCAAACACACATAGAAAGTCCTTCCAATCATAGGAAGGGTTATATGACAACAGGATTATGCTCAATTGAGCATCTTTGAGATAACTATAAACAAACGTTAAAGTAAAGGACATTTTGTATCACAGTAACCTTTAAATTAGCATTTTTAAATGTACACAATTAATACTTAACAAAGTTCTCTTATATTCTTTTTCAGATAGATGTGATTTTTCACAGATCCAGTTTAAAGCATCATTATATCAAATCTCAGGTTGTCAACTTCAGGTAACCATAGTTAATAAACTCATATGAGGGAAAAGCAACTATGTACTGTGCAGTTATTCTTAACCTGTTTCCTTTACAGACATGATGTAAAGACTTTACATATACCAAAGAAAAGCTATCAATTTCTTCTCACAATGCAAATGCTCCTATACCGAGCACAGTGGGAGAGTTTTTTGAGTAATCATGAAATACGTTCCTCTCTTCATCCTTTGAAAAGACAAAAGATATTTCAATAGAAAATTCCCTCAACCTTAGTTACTTCTGTTGATTTTACTTGTTTTATAGTAAATACCTACTAGAAATATTTTAAAAAACAAAAGTTTATATATATATATGTATATATAGATATAGACGTATTTATATGTGATATAAATACAAAGTTTATTTATAGATGGTATAAATACAAAGTCAGATTTATGATTTTCCATTCTCCATTATGATTATGATTAAGTTTTTTGAGCTGAGGGTAATCTAGGACTTAACATCTGTGTGATATATAAAGGAGATAATCATGACAATAAGCTGCATTTAGTATTTTTTTTCTTAAAGCTACAAGCAATATTGAAGTACTAATAGTATAGTATTAAGAATAACTACTAGGCCATTGCCTTACGTTGGTGCCTTTCTTTTTCAGGCCAAGTAATGATGGTTTGAAAGCAGACGTACTGATTAAATTTCAGTTTCCCCGTAACAGTGTGGGCACTTTGAAAAGACAAGCTGATAGCATTTTGCACAAGAAGTTGCAATCCACCCAGAGCTTCATGAAGAGAGACACTTCATTACCTAATCTTAGAGGCAAGAAAGACACTTTTTTTCTTCTCACAAGACCTAACACTTTTAATTATTATCTGTCTCCAGAGAAAGCTTCTTTATTTCACTATAAAACAAAACCGTTTTTATTCTAGGTCTCTGAGTCACTAATGAACAACTTCTTACTCATTTGGCACCAAAGATTATCTTTCCTTGGTTGGTATGAAGATAATTATAAGAACTGTATGATTACCTAAATATAAAAATATTTTTTCTCTTATTAAAACAAACCTTGGAAACATTTTTAAATTAAGTAACAATGTTTGTGGTATTTAAAAGTAGCCTAACTTCTACTATTGATACACTAGATCTAAATCTCTTTTATTTTGGCAAGAGTTTCCCCAACTGAATATAGAATGTGAAGATGATATGAACAAAATAATCATAATATGTTGGGCACAAACATGGTCTAATTACAAGTGGAGTTCATTTTAGATTAACATATTCTTCCTACAACACACAGGATATACTTGACCTGGGACATAGAGTGAGCTGAAGCAAAATGCCAAACCCTGTTAGAATGTATCTCAGCCATAGAAAAAAAAATTAAAAAAATTAAAAAAAACCTATCTCACTTTCAACACAGACATAAAGAGGTAGTTGATAAATATTGAGTATGTGAGATTTTATTTTTTATTTTTTTTCTTGAGTATGTGAGATATTAAAAAGGTCTTTATAATTCTCAGACAGCTGCTAGCCTCTAAATTAACTTAGAAAATTGTTGTATTTAATTAGAATTTTTAAAATATGAAATGAGATTGGAAAGCCAACAGCAAATTACAAGTTACCAGTATATCTTACCCCATTACTTTTCTCCCCAAAATTGTTTGAGAGAGTGAGAGTGATTATGATATATCAAAAAGAAAGTTATATTATAGGTTTTGCCACAGTCATAAAGAAGAGATTTAGTAAGGGCTCATGCATATCTGAGATACATTTTTATTTTTTATTGATTTTTATTGAGCTCTACATTTTTCTCTTCTCCCCTCCCTGCCTCTCCCCTCCCCTCCAACCTTCCCGCAAAGTCCCCATGCTCCCAGTTTACTCAAGAGACCTTGTCTTTTTGTTTATTTTTACAAGTGTGTGTGTGTGTGTGTGTGTGTGTGTGTGTGTGTGCAGGTGTTCATGTGTGTATGGGTGGGAGGGAGTGGGGAAGAAGGGTACACATACCTGTGCTTCTATGTGGCTGTAGAGGCCAAACATAAACATCAGACTTCTTCCTCACTCAGTCACTCTCTACCAGGTTTTGAGAAGAGTTCTCTCTCCAGTGAATCTGGAGTTCACTGACAGGTAGACTAGCTTAAGCAAGCCCTGTCTCTGCTTTCCCAACTCTAGGGCTACTCTGTCCTGCCTAGACTTTTAACATAGGTGCTAGGTATCCAAATCCCAGTCCTTGTGCTGTGTGACAAATACTTTACCACCCGGGCTATCTCTCAGGTTGTCACTTTTTGAAATTTAATTTTTATTTTGAACTCCTTTTAAGACAAATATTAGAAACTCAACTTCCTTATTACTATAGTAATCCCATCCACACCACATCCCTTTATTAATCCTACCACACCGCCTCCCTATATTAATCACACGACACTCACCTCCTGCTACCTTATGGGATATTGATGTCCTTCACAAGATTGTCTCCAGATCTCCATCATTGTTGATCCATATAGACATCAGCTAATCTGTCCCCTAACAGAACTTCAGTCTCCTGTCTAATTATTTCACACACACACACACACACACACACACACACACACACACACACACACACACCTGTGCTCCACAGACTTGTTTAAGAATTTTTTTGACTTTTTATCTTTTTTCTTTCACAGCACACTATGCTTCCTTGGGTGCAGGAAATGTTTGCGCTACTCAGTGATGCACACTCACGCTGAGCTCAGCACTGGGAGGGGATTGGATCTGGCAAATGTTTGCCTTATAATTCTGTAAGCTAATTCAGTTCCTTGAAAGTGGGCGAGATACAAAAGGAGTCTCTTAAAAGTCAATTTCAGACTCATTCTGTTCTCCTTCATGTCTATTTTCTTTACGGTTTCATTATGATGACTCTCAGTACTCTGCCCTATTTGGAGTTTTCTCATTATTTGAACCTATACATTTCTGTCTTTAACAATCGTGAGGAATTTTCTTATTTGCCTCCATTCTAGAAAGTCACAAGTATCCGTGTTCTATAAAGTATCCCACAGACACCAAAGACTTTGCTCGTTTGGGTCCATTTACTCTGCTCTTAAAGCTGAATGATTCAGCTACTGTCCTCAGGTTCACTGATGTTGTTCCTCAAGTTCACTGATGCTGTTCCCATTATCCATCTGCACTAGGAATATCATCAAATCAGTTGGTCTGTTATCACTGCTATTATTTTTCTTATATGACAGCAATTTTTTCTCATCCCTATCATTTTCAATATTTTTTTATTATTTCTACTGCTCTGTTAATATTTTTCTATGTTTCACTTATTACAAGATCATTGATTGTGGCAGCTCTTCAAAATCTACATCAATTATTTCTAACACTCTAGATCTCTCAGAATTAGCATTGGTTGTTTGTGTTCTCATTCAAATTGCAGATTTCCCATCTTGTATTGTTTCATTTTCTATGAGAATTTGTATATTCTGAACATGATAGACTAGGAGAATCTTAATCCTGAATAAATATTTTTTTTCCATTTAGCACACATTCAATCTTGCCTACATTGAGAGTCTAAATTCTTGCCTACTTCTGTTATTTCAATGGTGGTTTAGTCTTGGAGATTCTTGCAACACTATGCTGTTTTGCTGCCTGCTATTCATGGCTGTAGAATGTGCTTCTCTGGACTGCCCTGTAGTTTCATACTCTGTCTATGGACCTGGATCTCCTAATGCCATTGAGTAGAGACAGGAATCTACAGATGTCTCCACAGATGGATAGTTTGTCCACCAGTGTTTTGGTCACAGCAGGGGAACTGGGATGGTCAGGGGATTCCTGGTGTCATTGCTTCTGTAGAATCGACTTACAGTAGAGGTCTAGGTAAATCTCTATTGTCCTTCCCTTCTTTTAGTACTTTGCATAGGAAACTTGGACATTTCCTGAGACTGTTTTCTTTGAACTTGTTGACGGCCACTTTTTGACAGACCTTTCTGGTCCCTAGTCTAGGTTATAAGTAAAATTAAAGAAAGGTCACAAAGCCCAGCCCTTTTCCTTCCTCAAATTCTGAAGTCTTTCACCATTTTGTCACCTTCTTTATAGCTTTGAGAGTTCTTTTACTGTAGTAAATAATTTTTATATCACATCTCTCCTACAAAATTTCACAGTATTGCTATACGATATATGCATGTCTCCCCATGCACTGTGTGTGTGTGTGTGTGTGTGTGTGTGTTACTGTGCCACAGCTCAAACCTAGGACCTTGGGCATGTTAGGTGAAATACTAATACTCCAGTCCCCCCATTTACTTTAATAAACTATATATTACTTACAATATCTAATATAGCATAAATTATATGTAAGTACTTGGCATTTAGGGAATATAATGGAAAAATACAAGTCAGATTCAGTGTTTTGCAAATATTTCTGACTGAGAGTAAGTTGAATCCACTGATGCAAAATTCACAAATGCACTGAATGGTTGCATTCACTATTACAGTAGCTGGTTGCATTTACAGAAGAAGAAAAAAGAAAATTGAGTCTGAACAATCTTGGCCCAGAACTAAAGTTTTACAATATTTCTATCAGAAAAGAAGAGCACATCTATTGAATCATGCCTCTATATGAGACACAGCTCCATCACAGAAGTAGATCAATATTTCCTGAGTAGATAGATACTGGTTTAGGAGAAAGTTGTTAATAAGTTACAAATTAACCATAATCCACTCACTGAGAATTATGACCTAGAGTGTAGGACTAACGTACAGAAGACATTCATGTGAAGGACGAACTGCCTGACCTTGAGACTGATTGTCAACAAGTATTACGCCATGCTTCTGTAGACTTGTATCATGGCATCACTACAAAGATATTATGCAACACAGTGCATATCTTATAGAACTCAGTAGATTATAAGTCATAATGGTTATTCATCTATTCACTCAGCAACTATGCTATTCAATTTAGGAACTGAAATCTCTGTACACCTAGAATCAATATTCTAACCGAAAGGAGAAAGTGAACAAACTGGGCAGCAACAAATAATGTTGTCCTGACAACAACCTGAGACTTTAGTTTGCTCTGTCATGGAAAGCACTGTGAAAGAAGAAATCTTTAAAGTTGAGGTCTGAAAGACAGGAAACCCTGCAGGGAAAGGCCATGGGAAAAGCGTTCTGACGAAGCAGGCAGCTAGTTGATTAAAGACTGCCAACAGAAGCAACACCTGAACACAGTTAAGACCTTGAAGGTCAAGGAGGAAGAGCAGTTCAGTGTGACACCGAGGACATAATAGGGTCCTGACCACCTAGGGCCACTTAGAAAAATCTACATTTATTTTAAGGGCTAGGGAAGACATGGCGGGGGGCGGGGGTTACTGTTGGCAGAACTGAATTCTAAGCATGTTCTATAATTAACTTCCTAACAGTGGTTCCAACTCAGTGTCCCTTGAGACTGATCTAAAGAGCTGACCCTGAAATGCTAGCCAGCTTTCATCTCGATATACTTGACCCGAATCTCACTACACATGCTGGCATAGAGAGTCACAGAGTATATCACTTTCAAGTTTTATCTGTAAGTAAAAATGAAAACATGTTAGATGCAGGTGGAATTTGATACAATAGGAAAAAAAATCTATGGGCCAATCCTAGATACCAGACGTTGAAGATGGTTTGTATACCACCCCTAAACAGCTCCATGCAAGTGGAGCCAGAATGAAAGGCTTTTACTCATGTTGGAGGACACAGGTAAAAATAGCTCTACACACCTAATTTTACATCAATAAGTTGCTATGACATTAATCTTTCAGACAAATAATGTCTGTCTATGACAATGATTTTAGACTCATATCAGGATCTTCCTGAAATCCATGTGCAGTCAGAATCTTAATTCATATTTCAGCACCCATTTTCATGGCTTATTTTATTGCCTTTATATTGACTGTCTTCATTAGTTCATTTTTTTCCCAATCTGAAGATGTCATACCATGTAGGCATTGTATTTTAAATTATAACACTTATGTCACTGAAAAATGACCTTGATTTCATTTTTTCCAGAAATGAATGCAGCACAAGCAGAGAATACTCTAAACAGTGGTGAGTCCAAGAATGTCACTGATATGTTATTAAATCAAAGACTCAAACTCACAACACTTTGGTCTTTATCTGCATGTATCCCATTTCTCAAATACCTACAGTATTTCTAAATGGATATGTGACTTTTAATCAATGAGAACATTACTAACAGAATTTTTATGAATTTTTTAGCAATATTTTCTTTTAGTAGTAATATGCACTGCTGACCTCCTTAACAAATTCCACAAGTGTTTCCTACTTATTTTTATTTGACTTATTCGTTAAAATATAAATTTTCATAGATTTAAATGAAACCTACTAACTATGTTATGTAAAATATTATCTATTTGATAGATTTTAAAATATTATGGCTGTAATTTATCTGCAATAATTGTCACCTATCACTGGAGTAACCTGTTATGCATAGCATAACTCAGAAAATATGAAAAACTAATATCAAAGGAAAGTTACTTTAAATACACTAAAATGAGAGTTAACTTTTAATTATTAATGATTTCATTGAAAAATATGTATACTCGGTCAACCTGACTATCTATCATCCTCATGACATTTACTGTTAATGAATATTTTCAAGGCAAGACACATCATTAAATATTTTCATGCTTAATTTTGCTGAAGACATCTAGATACATTCACAAGTCGCTGCAAATAACCATGTTATTTTGTTCTGGCTGGCAGATTGTGGCTTGGGGATGGAGTACCCACTTACAGCAAGAATTGCTAATGGCAAACCTGCAGACAAAGCTTCCTGGCCATGGCAAAGCAGCCTGCAGGTGGATGGTATCCACCTCTGTGGAGCATCCCTGATTGGCTCCCAGTGGCTCCTGACCTCTGCTCACTGCTTTGACACGTGAGTCCTCAGGTTGCTCTCTTTGAAGTCCCAAGCATCTCTGCTTCTCACATTCATATTCCATAATTCCTATCTCTTCTTCATCCTTTCCATGAATCTCTTAGCCCCTTGTTGGCAGGAGTAGAAAAGAAAATCAATTACTGAAGAATAGGGCAAAGAATAGATTGCTTTCAGTTCCAAATGAATGTATCTTTTATAGTAATCTCAATTTTAACTAGAAACAAGTCAACAGTGAAAAATCAAGTACGCTCACCAGTTTTCCTGAAATAGATTGATGTTTTCTTTTAGTGCAATTAATTATACCCCAGCCTAAACTAACATCTGATGTTCTACATGAATATTATGGGCTATATGTTTATATTCTTTGTACACTGTTAAATATTTGACATATTTCACTGTTGGAGAGAAAGAGGAAATATGATAACCCTAGTGAAATTCAAATAAAATGGGGGAAATATTTTGGATAAAATTCCCAATGGAAAAAAGTCATTAAAAAATAACATATGGCTACAAATTTATCTTTTTTTCTGAGCCTCTATCTTTTTTCTCTCTCTTTTTGTCTATGTCTTCCTCTCTATGAACCTATGAATAAAAATTTATGACTTTGCATATAAGTATGTATGAGTATTTACAGAAATATATGTAGATGATTATATCTAGTATTTTTATTTTCTTCAAATAATATATTTTGTATATTATTTTTATAAAATAGCAGTAATATTTTGTTTCCTTTAAAATGCATACTCATTCTCAAAGAGGGTAACTAAACCTACTTTTAATGGAATGTTTCTTATCAGCTATGAAGCAAATGAACAGGATGGGAAAGTCTAAAAAAATAGTGGGAAAGTCCAAATCAACTATGATTTTAAAGAATTTGCCTGTCCCCCACATTTAAATCCCATTGCTCATCCAGAATCCTGGGCAACTTTAGACCAGAAATGAACTCACCATGTTTGCTTCTTTTAATTTGTGATCAGTTACAAAAACCCCAAACTGTGGACAGTCAGTTTTGGGACAACCCTAAGCCATCCACTGACGACAAGAAAGATAGCGTCCATCATTATTCATGAGAACTATGCAGCTCACAAGCACGACGATGATATTGCTGTGGTCAAGCTCTCCAGCCCCGTCCTGTTTTCTGAAAACCTGCGCAGAGTCTGTCTCCCTGATGCTACCTTTCAAGTCTTGCCGAAGAGTAAAGTGTTTGTCACTGGATGGGGAGCTTTGAAAGCAAATGGTGAGTATATCAGGAAAAACAAGGATTCAAAAATGCAAACCTAAGTTGCTCCTGCATGGAAATTCCCAATCAAATAAAAAAATATGAAGTATAAATCAAGATAATCCCATGACAGTCACAGCAAAAAACTGTGAAAACTTTAGCTATAAATAGTACTCATATATTTATATTTGATATAGTAGTTAAGATAGCAATATAGAGACAGTCATTTTATAGACTATACTTTCATACTCTTAGAACTTTGTTTTCAGTTTATCAGAGCATATTCATTCAAATATCCTCCTTTCTGTCCACATATTTCATATGTAGGGAGTCGGTTATGTCTGTCTGACTCATAGAATTTGCAAGCACTAATTATGATAATCCTAGAGGGCCACAGTGCTAAACCGAAAGGTCCTCAGCAAGGAATCCAAAGACCTGTTCCTGCCTGGTATTAAATATTAAATGGGAGCCTCTGCCCCGTGTATTTCTGAAGTTGGTAACAATATCACGTTGGCATTTTGTTCCATTAAATAATACTCAAAAAATAGCAAGCACAGCCTTTTAGATGTAAGCATGAGTTTTGGGTTCCTATGCTGCTTCTTCTCCTTTTCCTCCTCCTCCTCCTCTTCTTCTCCTTCTTCTTCCTCCTCTTCTTCTTTCTTCTCCTCTTCCTTCATTTTTTATTGGAAATGGATTTTTTGGTCATATAATACACCCCAACCACAGTTTTACCTCCTTTCCTCCTCCTAGATTTTGCCCCAATTTCCTATCCCCTGATTCACTACTCCTCTGTTTTCCTTTAGGAAAGAGCACACTTCCAAGAGACAGCAGCCAGGTTTCTTGCTAACCCCATACTGGCTCCCTCTATCAAGATATCTCTTTTCTTCCCTTGCTCAGCCTAGATACAGGTGGGAGGGCCTTGGTCCTGCCTCAAGTGCTGTAACCAATTTTGTTGACTCTTATGAGAAGCCTCAGCTCTCTGAGGAGTGGATAGTGGGTGGTGTGAGGAAGCTGATGGGAGTAGGAGGAGAGGAGGGAAAGGGAACTGGGATTGATATATAAAATAAAAAAAAAGATTGTTTTAAAAACAATTTTTAAAAAAGTTAAAAAAAAGAGGGGAGACAACAGCCAAATAGGACAAGACATAATAAGACAAGACAAAAGCCCTCATATAGAGGATGGACAAGGCAACCCAACAGAAGGAAAAGAGTTCCAAGAGCAAGCAAAAGAGTCAGAGACATACCTACCCCCACTGTTAGGAGTTCCACAAAAACACCAAGCTAACAGCCATAGCATATATGTAAAGGCTACTAACTCCCCAATTTATTAATTATGCCAATTCTTCTCTTATAAAAAAGCAAGAATTTCATATGAATGACATTTTTAACTGAAGCAGTAAATGGAAACATGAAAACAGAATAGCTTAAAACAGTATTACATTCAAGTAAATGGCAATTTTGCATTACATTCAATGCAAACGAATCAAGTAATGTGGTTAGTGAAAAAAAGCATGATGGGTTGTGCTCTCTTTCTATTTGTACTGATGTTTGTTTTGAACAGAAAGCCACACCAATTTCATCGTACACATCATCCTTCTCATGAAGCAATTGGATCCCATAGAATGAAACGTGATTCTTGATAATGCTAGTCTTTCTAAATGATTTATAAATTGAAATTATCTAGTTTCTCATCCATTTATTGTTTCCCTATTTAGGTCCCTTTCCCAATTCTCTCCAAGAGGTTGAAATAGAGATCATAAGTAATGATGTATGTAACCAAGTGAATGTGTATGGTGGCGCTATATCATCAGGAATGATATGTGCTGGGTTCTTGACAGGAAAACTGGACGCCTGTGAGGTAAGTATACTCTAATCCACAAAAACTGCCTCTACTCAATAAGGATGAAATCATTGATCACAGAGTGATGTCATTTAGCACAGTTCCATGAAATTAGCTTGTGGAGGATAGAGGTGTGAAGAGGGACTGGAGAACAAGACATACAGCTCCTTATGAAACATCGTATTGAACAGAGCTGTCTAAGCAAGATTTTCAGTTGAAAATCAGAACTCTTGGTAGAGATCAGTAATCCAGCCTGAGAGTAGAAAACAGGCATGAAGCCACAGAATCAAGGCTCAGTCAACTAAACTTTGAATATCTCATTCCTATTAACTTCAAGCCACAGTGAGACAAGATCTGCTAACCTTTGTAATTAAATAACGTATGCCCAAATAGAATTACAGAATTGGGAAAAATGATTACCTGTAGTCACTCCTTTAAACGTAGTATATAACAGATTATTTTTCAAATTATAGAAATAGCATTTTCTTCATACTTACAACAAATTTATTGCAAGCACTAAGCATTTAAGCGCATTATCAATTCCAAATATGACTATTTGAAGATCTAAAAATAACTAGTGAATTAAAGATGTGACCTATAGCATTTGTGACTGGGCACAAGAACTTAGTGATTTCTTGAAGAATTAATATTGGCTCTGATAACTTGGCACATGTGTGACATTTTTTTTTGTGTGCATGCATATTTATTGACCTGACATTGGTTGTCATACAATGATAATAGATATACATTCATTTATTCAGCTATTTGTGAATCACAGGTTACTACAGACATTGCTGAAGGAAACTGAAATTTAAGACAAACACAATGAGTTTACAATTTCATTAGGGCATGGGTTACTAAAACAAAGGAAGAAAGTCAGGGTTTAGCTACACATTCTAGAATACAAGGTATCTTTCCAAATCCCCCCTTGAGAAGGAGAAGCAAGATGTGTATCCAACATACACTGGAATCACAAGACTCAGAGACTAAACATGATCTACACAGGAGCTGACATTCTCGGCTCATTGGCTTATACTTCCTTATTTCCTTTTACTGGCAGTACAGTAAGAGCGTGAGGAACTCAATTGTAGTGGAGGCCTGAGGGAAAGCAGCTGAGGAGGGTTGCCTTAAGTCAATCAGGGTATTCATGCTGTGCACCAGACACTGGAAGAGACTAAGAACAGGAGGAATGTGGAAAGGAGGGAGCCTCAAAGTTGCTTCAGGAGCCTCTGCCTCCTCCAGACTCTACCATTTCCCTCATTCTAAGAAATTGTAATAAACTATCACAGGATAATTTTTATTTCTGGAAAGGATAAAGTTATTACATAAAGATAAATTTTAAATCTCTTGTTGAAATCTTACGTTAAAGGTAACTGAAATTAGGTATTTGAAGGTGTTTACTGGGCACTTGCCATAGCCTTTCATTAATAAATACTGCACATTTGGGAGAGCATTCCAGAACACTCTTCTACTGATTAGTAAGAGTGGAACAAGGTGAAAATTTAATTTAAACCAAGGCATCACTTCTAGCTAGTAAAGTTAAAGAAGTTTTGTGGAAAAGTCGGAGTGTTCGTTTCCGATATGGATGTATTAGACAGGAGCCAATTAGTTTTCATTTCGGAAACAATATTTCTCACATTGATTATATTTCCTTTCTTTTCTAGGGTGATTCTGGAGGGCCCCTGGTCATTCCACAAGATGGAAATATCTGGTATCTTCTTGGCATTGTTAGCTGGGGAATTGACTGTGGAAAAGAAAACAAGCCCGGAATTTACACGAGAGTGACTCATTATCGGAACTGGATTAAATCTAAAACTAACATCTAATGCCACCCCTTATTCAAACTGGAGTGTCACACACGGCCTCTGGCAAATTTCATTCAGTGTTCATTACCGGGAACGTGGTCATCTAGTTCGAGATGCAAACGAGTATGTTGCGGTGACCTTAAATCAGAAGGGGACAGACTTTCTTCCGCATTACTGGAACGTTTCCACCAACCTTGAACACAAAGGATGCTGTCTGCTCCACAAAGCATCTCATTACCGCCCTACTCACCTCTGTTTTCCTACTTCATGTTTTTTTCAATTTACAGTAATCGGGAGATTAACTAAATACTAACTGCACCGCCACTCTCTGCTTCTCTCCAGACCCTTCTCTGGTGTCTCCATAGTTTCTGTCGTCTTCATAGAGAATTCTCTTTGGCAGTTTGTCGGTCCACTGACTAGGCAGACCAAGTTACTCAGTCTAAGCCAATGGTGACAAATGATGGGGCAAGCACTAGACCAGAGACTGGGACTTGGAGACGGCAATGAGCAGGTTCATTTCCCTTCCTCTTCAGATACGTATCGAATCTTTCCCTGAAGCGTCGTATTTATATTTGTACATATTTTATTAGACAATTTAGCTGATGTATATTTTGAAGCAGTGGGTTTTTTAATCACATAAAAGATTAAAAAGTGATATTTTTGGTGCCCTTTCATGAATAAAATGCAAATGGGCAAGAGTCTAATAAAGTTACTTTCAGTTCCATATCTAAAATGAGAGATGTTCAATCGCTGAGATAGAGCCAATCTCAGAAGATTTTTAAAAAGCATTGCTTTCTATTGCCCAAAGTTATCAAATTTCCATTTAAGCGCTTTTAAATATATTCAGTGTTTTTGACATGAAAAAAACAAATAAAATGAGAGATGTTGCAATACTTATACAAGTTTATTTTTTCAATTGTACTTTATATTATCTTAATTCATTTTATTTAACTTATTTTCAACCAGATTTAGAACAATTAAGTACTTGTAAGATGAGAAGTTAGCATTAATTAATTCCAAGAAAATGTAAATACCCGATATAAGAAGCTAAAGTACCAGTAGATATTCATAAAATATTTTTTATAAGATGTTGGCAAAGGTATTGTTGTACAAGAACTGAATTTATTGTTAAATAGCATGTATATTCTATGATAGAATATTTATATAAGACATTCAAATAATCTGGAAAGCATCAGGTTAGCTTATGCCTTGAAATAATTACACAGACACTGTATTCTTTTAAACAGTGCTTGGCCCATTATATCTAGCCTCTTCTTGGCTAACTCTCGCACCTGGACTAGCCCATTTCTAATAATGTGTGTAGCATCAGTCTTACTGGGAAGAGTCTAGCCTACGTCCATCCTGGGTCGGGGCTTCATCACGTGTGCCTCAGAGAGTAGAGCTATCGCGTCTGCCCTGGAGAGGGGAGCATGGCGTCTCTGAGCTCACTTCCTCTTCCTACCAGCATTCTGTTCTGTTTACCTTAGTTTCAATGATAAAGTTGGTATTTTCACATGTATTTCATTGTCTATTTTTCAATCTCACCTGTGAGAATGAAGTAGTGTCAAACCAAATGCAGAATTACTCTGTACAGCTTATCTTATTTTTATAATTGATGAGTTAACTGCTGTGTTAAGGTTTTCACTGGGGTTTTGTATTGATTGGTGCCTAATATATTACACTGTACATACTGAAAGGTATTTATGATAATAAACCAATTTTGTTTTCTCTGAGTTGTCATTGAGCGATGGTTCAACTTTCACACCATTGACATTTTGTCACAGATGCATCTTTGTTTGGGGAAGTAGGGAGATCATTATAGGCACTTCTGCCACTTCTACACGAGATGCCCGTAGGACACAAAGCATCACTAAGCCCTACAAGGTACTCTGTCCAATATGGTAGCCCTATCCAGATTTAAGTTAATTTTTAAAGTTAAAATTTTATTTCCTCATTTGCACTAATCATGTTATAAACAAAATACAAAAAAATAGCCATATGTGACTAACGGCTGCTACTCTGTCACCACAGAAAAGTCTAAAGATACAACTTTACTATCCTAGGAAGCGCCTTTTATGATCACTTCTTCATTCATCTTACAAGTTTCTTGAACCTATGAGTGAAAGGTCCCATAAATAAAAATGTCACAGCTGTGTTTAAGATTCTAAAAGTCTGGTTAACTTCTTATACAGTTATGAGTACAGAGAGCTGGAATGTTGCAGGTCCAATTATCTGAGTTTATCTTTAACCTCCTTAGGAGCCATTCATTTCCCACCTCTGTGTGGGAACTAACATTCTTGTGACTGTTTGGTACATTTTTTTAGAATGTACTAACAGAAAGCTAGCTTCCATGAACCCATAAGCTAAGGATGCCATCATATAGCTTGGGAGGCCTGCCTCAGAGTCTTCTTTGTTTTGAGGTAACTTGCTACCTAATAGTCATACCAAAATATTTCATTGCCTTAATTCGTACCTTTCTTTTGCTCTATACTTATAAAACTTTAACAAACATGATACCACATTAGAACATGGCTTTTTAGCATAACTTGAATATGTAGTTCCAGGTCATGATAACTCATATTTGGTCCAGAATATACTATATCTTATTTCCTTTGAGGCAATAGCTGCATTTTTTGTATTGATAGCCTCCATATGTTAGGTATCAGGCATTCCAGATGTATATACATCTGTGTTCAAAACTGGGTCTCTACTGTCAAGACAATCAAAAAAAAAGTTAATCGTATCTTGGATAATTGCCATCTACAGCAGTAAGCCCCTTGAGGCATATGTGTTTGCTGCCATGCCAGGGCCATGTTTACGTTCTTCTGATAACTGAAACAAAACTCTTCAAGATGTAGTAGCACAACCCTGTACACAGGTGAGGCTGACGTCAAAATCACAGAAACGGAGTTTTTAACCTACCTAGAAAAAGATAAAAGAATACTACCAATTAATGGTGTATTAAAAATAAAAAAAGAACTTTTTTTTTTGTAAATTGACAAAACTATTTCTTAACCCAGGAAGAGGTATTTATGGCAATCAAACAAACAAACAAACAACAACAAAAAAAAACCAAAAACAAAAAAAAAAAGTAAGAATTAACCATTGAGGTAACACGAATTCTACGTGGGCAAGCATCCAATCAGCTCAAATAAAATAAGAGCTGCACCATACAATCTGTCGTTACAATTTCATTATAATCGAGTCTAGGAAATGGGAAAACAGCAAACCAGTCCCACTGCTGCCTATGATAGACCAAATGTGCTACTATAGTGCCATCTGCTGGCAGAGCTCCTCAAGAAAATGATGTTTAAGGTTCTCCCTGTAGATGATATTTAAATAATCTGACATCCTCTCCCCCATGTTCTCTTAAGCAAATTGAAATGTAGAGTTTTGTGTATACATTATAAAATGTGTATACATTTTATGTCACACACATAAAAATGTATTCATATATTTACTTCTTTTTTTTAAAAGATTTATTTATTTATTATGTATACAGTATTCTGTCTGCTTGGATGCTTACAGTCAGGAAGAGGGCACCAGATCTCATTACAGATGGTTGTGAGCCACCATGTGGTTGCTGGGAATTGAACTCAGTACCTCTGGAAGAGCAGCCAGTGCTCTTAACCTCTGAGCCATCTCCCCAACCCCATATATTTACTTCTTATTTTTAAAATAAGATAATGTTATTCTCATACACGACCTGTCAATCAAAACCAGAGCTCATGACTTTTATGTGTCCTGTCCAAAACTGAACCATGGTCTTCCCACTTTTGTGGCAAGCACTTTAGCTGCTAAATCATCTCCCCAGCTCTAGGACTGCTTCAGTCTTGGGAGTTTATCAGGGAAAGCTAGTTGGAGCTAGTTAGCAAATGGGAGGGAACTGTAATAGTTACTGTGGCCTGTAAGATCTCAACCCTGGAATTCACCCCAAACCTGTTCCTTAAAACTCACCTTGACCCAGGTAATGGGCAGGCTTGGCTCTTCCACAGTTCACAGTGCCAGATAAAATAGCTGACTCCTCTTGGGAAACGTGAAGTCATATTCCAAAATAAACACCCTGAACTTCCTCATGAGAATAATAGGTGAGATAGCATATTCTCAGACACTCAAGGATGTAAAATAGACGAGACGTCAAAACTTAAATAGTTGAGGAAAGATGTCACCTTGATCAAGAAGGAGAATGCTGTTAAGACTGTGACCATAAGATGCATAAAAAGATGGGAATATTAGACCTAGGACAGAGTGGAAATGAGGAAGGATAGCTGATGAGATCAGTAGCCTCACAGATACAACTAAGAAGTGTATTAATTAATAAGAAGTTCAAAATGATGAGCCCCCTAGAAAGGAAAGGAGAAGATATGTAAATGAAGTTTAAAATTTTCAGAGATATGAAAGACAGACACAGAAATGCCCTATCAATAGAAACCTCGGGGACTGGAGCAGGGGCTCAGCAGTTCCTCTTGCTCTTGTGTTAGTCACTCTTCTGATGCTGGGATAAAATATCACGGCACGAAACAACCTAAGGAGGAAAGCTCCACTTCAGCCTATGGTCCTATAAGGACAGAGAATTTAGTCTATGATGGGGAAAGCATGGTACGGAAGCATGGTAGGAGTGGGAAGCACAGAGGTACCGAGAACAGGAAGTGAGGTCTAACCCTTTACAGCCTAACCTCAGAGATCTACTTCCTTCAGCTAAGCTGTGCCTTCTCCAAGCCCTATAACCTACTGAATAGTGCCACTAGCTGGGAACCATGTGCTCAAAAATACAAGTCTACGGTGACATTTCTCATTCACACCACCACAAATGTTAAATTACATATATTGGAAAATGCCCCCTAGTTAGTGGGTTGTTCGTTACTCAGTCACCCGCTTCCTCAGTTGAGTAGGCTCTAAAATCATCTTCAAGAGCTGGATTGTTAATTTAATATTCAATACCTACTCAGTCCCTTTCATTGTCGGTCACAGTACATGACAGCCAATTTATTGAGTAGAAGTGTATAAAACTTGAAGGAAGGAGCTGGGCAGCAGGATGAAAGACGGCCTGTGAAGAACCTATAAGCTGTGAGGGGTCAGCAAGTCAGCAGAACAAACTGCTGAGACATCATTCAGTTGTGCTAGCTTGGGTTTCCAGTTCCGTAGGGCTTTGACCCATGCACAGCAGATGCGTTGTAAGTAAACAGTCAAACTCTGACAATCTGCTAGATCATCAGCTGCTGCTGACTTGAGTTTTGAAAACCAACTCTTATATTGAGAATTTAACTGATTGTTTTTATTTTAATAGACACATAATTATTTACACATATTTATGAAGTATAATGCGATGTTTAAAGTCAATGTATGTATTGCATAACAACTGATTACAGCAACAATCATGCCATCACCTTACATTTTCACCATTCACTTATGAGCTCATTCAAAATCTTCTATTTTATTGTTTAACTATTCTGTTGTTAACTGTCTTTAGTGTGTCACTGACAACAAGAAATTATGCCTACCCAAATCTACTGTTATTTCCACAGACAAACATCTCCCCATTTCCATCCCCCTTTCTTTCATCTATCTGGGGTAACCACTTCTATCCTCAACTCCTATTAGGTGGGCTATGGATTCTAATATGTTCCCATTCCTATACAGTGCAGCAAAGCAATTTGAGATGGACTAAGAACTTTTCTGTCTTTGCAAAAGGCATTCTTTCGGTTTTCAGCTGCCTACGTCATTGTAAATTGCAAGGGTATCTTAGTTTCTCTTGTGTTCCTGCCAGGAAAGACTCTGACAACGTAACTTAAGAGAAAAGGGCTTAGTTCAGCTCACATTTCAAGGCAGTCCACCAGAGCAGAGCAATGTAATTGGCAGCAGCTTGAAACACCTGGTCACGGGGCAACCATAATCAGGAAGAGAGTTGTGAATACCTGCTAGTTCTTTGTTATCTTCTCTACTTACAGAGTTCAGGATTCCTTCCAGGGATTCACCTCCACAATGGGCATATCTTACCATCCTCAGTCAATGCCATCAGAATAATTACTCACAAACATGCCCAAAGGCTCATATCCCAGGCCATTCTAGGTCCTGCCAAGTTGACAACTATACTAACCATTAACCACTTCATTCTTGTCAGCTCGAAACTAAAACACGTCATTTCTAATCTATAATCTCTTGTATCTATAGACTCATGGTCATCTGATGATGGAAAATGCATTCAACCTGACATCAACTGTTCCAACAAGCATTAACAATTTCAACACTATAAAAGTCCAAAAACTTAACCGTAATCTCTTAGAAAAACAAAAATAATTTGCAAATTTCCAACATCTAGTGACACAAAATATCGCTACTATTTTAAAGAAGAAAGACAAGGGCATAGCAAGAAATAATCACACACAAAAAAAAAAGAAAGAAAGAAAGAAAGAAAGAAAGAAAGAAAGAAAGAAAGAAGGAAAGACAGACAGGAAGGAAGGAAGGAAGGAAGGAAGGAAGGAAGGAAGGAAGGAAGAAAGAAAGAAAGAAAGAAAGAAAGAAAGAAAGAAAGAAAGAAAGGAGAAAGAAAGACCACCAAAATCCACAAGGCAAACACTAAATACTGAAGCTCTGTATCCATCTAGGGGTTGTAATGTAATCAACTAGACTCTAAAAGGCTTGACATCCCTCCTCCCAGCTATGCTGCTGTGCTGGCTGGTTTTGTGTCAATGTGACACAAGCTAGAGTCATTAGCAAGGAGGGATCCTCAATT